TCCTGAGCCATGGGCATGGATGGCTCTGCCATCTAGCTATTCAGAGATCCTGATTCCATGGACAAAATTGTTGGTTGAGAGGAAAGCAGGTGGCTGAAGTAGGGAATATCAGAACCTTCTTCAGACATTGATAGACATTGGAAGAGATGGGATTTTTTTTTCTGAATTGTGAAACTGCCAATGATCATCTTTGATGCCATGATGGACAGGACATAGCCTGCTAAAAAGAGAAGCTAACAGAGAAGAAAGTAGAACCTTGTGAATGGAAAAATAAGAGTTACAATGATTCATTTGAACCCCTGGGTTCAACGTTTCTTGATTCATCCCTAGATCTTTACAATTAGGCGAGACAAAAAATTTTTTTTCTACAAAACCTACATCAGAGTAGGTTTTTATCGCTAACAATTAATGTTTTGGATGCATGGATCTGCTATTCTATGACCTTAAGCAAGTCATTTTACTTCTTTGTGTCTGTTTCCTATTTTGTAAAATGAGGAGTTGGACTGAATTCGCTAATGTTCCATTTTAGCTCTCAGTCTGTGCATGAGAAAACAATTATTAAGAAAACACACAATTCTGTCATATGAAAAACATAAGCATATACATATCTTTGGGTTGCTATTGTCTTAGGGAATGTTCCATTTTTAATTAAGGCAAAGTACAGAACCCGAAAAGGAACTGAGGTATTTAAGTTTTGAACAATAACCAGAGGCATATGTATAAATAAAAATATAAATGTAAATAAAAATGCCAGAATAAAAGAATTTATATAATAAGTTTGAAAGATAGCCTTATTATTTTAACAAAAGAAAAAAATAGGTTTTGTCTTTAAGGAAAGAAGTGAGTTCTTGGGAAAAAAACAGGTTATTTATTTTCATTACTTGGTGTGATGACACAAGCATTTTACTGTTTGGAATACTGTACACATATCACAACATAAAATTTCCATCCCTAGGGTAACAAAAGAAAAAAAAAATTCTGTGAAGTGAAATGGCCTTTCTCAGTAATTACAGGTATCATTTTCATTGTTCCTGAGGAGTTTGGTTTTTGAGATTATGGAAGATGATTCCATGGATGCTCTGGATGTTCCAAAAGAAAGGATTAAAAAGGCCTGGGAAAATGGGCCAAGATAATAATTTGATCAAGGAGATTTATAATTAGTCCTTTTGATGGAGCGGGTGCTACCTTTCCTCATCCCAGCCTGAGGCTTAACTGCAGAGCCAGACTCGAGAGTACAGCTTGAAAATCATGGGCTAAGGTTACAGGAAAAGTAAGCCAAGCCTTCCCTAGTCAGAGAGAGCATGTTTCTTGGCTAAAAATTTTAAAAGGTGGTGGACACATGTCAATCCTCAAAACTTCTCTTGGTTATTTTCAATAAAATAATGCAGAAATATGAAAATGATGTAAGAATTATATAAAATAAAAAAAATGTGGAATATAAAAGTATCTGTGTGACTATACTTAGACAATCTGAGTACAGCAGAGAAATTATTGGAGATTGAAAAGAAGGAACAGGATACATGGTTTGTAAGGTGTTTGTAAGAGGCTCTGGAAATACATTCCATGAGCTATTCATGGTGTAGAGTCCACACTACCCCGAGAATCCTGGTGATGCCCTAGAAGGTGTCTCAAAAAAATTGGGAGCTTCTGTGTTCCTTTCCTTTTCTCTCTTCCCTGCCTTCTTCCCCTTCATCCATGCATCCACCGATTCAGCAATATTTATTTGATAATTTTTAAGGGCCAGAAATTGAGCTGGGTATTGGGAATAAAGCAAAGAATGAGTGAGACATGGTACATGCTCTCACAAAGTTTACAGTTTTTAGGAAAAAATGACATTAATTAAAAAAATATATACAGGAACTCGTGTATTATGGGAAAATAGTCAAAAAAGTCCTCATGAGGAAGTGATATTTAAACTTAAAGGATGAAGGACCTCCCCGGCAGTGCAGCGGGTTGTGCGCAGTGCTGTGAAGCTGTCCCCAGCCTCTGAAGCACGGGTTCAATTCCCGGCCAGCCAGGGAGAATCCCACATGGCATAGCAGACCTCTCCTGTGTCGCCCACTGCTCCCCTCAGCAGTGCTTTTGGTCCATCTGCCTGTTCTGCTCCCTGCTCTGTCTCTGATGAATCCTCACCCTCCCGTGCCTCTGGCCTGTACCCCAGTTCTTATATAAATAAATCAATCTTAAAAAAAAATTAAGGATGAGCAGAAAAAGAAGAGGCCTGGACAGGTTACAATATGTGGAATGTTCCAAGCAAAAGGAATGGCATATGTAGTACATAGCCAGTGAGAAAATCACTGAAGACCAGTGATAACACTGATACAATGAGATTAACATTTCTTGCAGTTTTATAACTTCTTCACTATGTGTTATTTTGGTATCCTATCCTTTGCACCATTTTTTTTTTTTTCATGAAGCAATACAATAATGGTGAAAAAATGCTTAATAGGGTTAACTTCCTTCTGAGAAAACAAGGCAGTAGAAAAACTAGAATAACTTTAATTTGATAGCTGGCAGGGGACACAGAGGGAACTAGGTAAGGGATTGCAGGTGGCAGTGATTGGGAGAGAGGAGCAAATATCATGGGGGAAATAAGGAAGAAATTGAATTTTTTTTCCATGACTACTCATGCTGCCCTCCCCTCCCAAATCCCTCCTCTCCAAAGAGTGGATTTTAAAAGAGGGAGAGGGTACAGAAATGTTCTAGTAATTACCTCCTTCCAGGATGACAGGTGTATTTTATTTCATATGCATACTCCCATCACCAGGGGGAGGTTGCTTGGAGCTTAGAGCAATGAATTGAGAAGTATCTAAGGTATGAGGTTGGCAGGAAGGAATTCAGTGACCAAACAGTGCTAGTAGAGAGGAAGCCAGGCAGCAAGCATGCTGTGAGTTTGATAATTTAATCCAGATCACTGGAGGGCACCCAATTTAGTTGATAATGACTTCCAGGTTGTAAATGTCAGTCGGCTGAGTTTTCTCTATCATTTGTTCATTTAAAGAGCTCTATGAGTATACAGCACATCTTTTATGAAGTTGAAATGATGTCATGGAAGAAGCAGTAGACAAAAACAAAAGTTCTTTCTCTCGTTCTATTACCCATGTTGAGTGTTTGAGGACAAACCTCAGATTTCTCACCCAGAAACTCGATAAACATATGACTGATTCTAGGTTGAACACGACTGTGTTATTTGACAAGAAACTTAGCATTCACCAGATCATTGGGTGCAAACTGGTAGAGACTGCTGAACATCTTTGGTATCCAAAATCCCCTTCTTTTAGAACCTTTCTTTCCATAACTGAATTTAATAAGGCACAGTCATGGCCACATGTGTTAAGACTACATTTACCTGCCTCCTTAATATTGACTTATGACCACATGACAATGTTCTAACCAAGAGGATATAAAACAACTCTGAAATACAGGAAAAGAAATTGTCTATCAATTGCCCTCTTTTCTTTTTCCTATGGCCTGAAATATGAGCAGGAACTGGTGAACCAATTTTGACCAACTTAGACTCATATTCAATGGTAGAAGAGGCTAATGTAGAACATCAAGGTGAACTCCAACTGAAGTCTTGCTCATTTCCATGGAGCAGAGCCTCTCCCTGCCTGCCTCCTTCTGAAGTATAACAGGAGGTGGAAGTAAACTTCTCTTTGTTTGAGCTACACTATTTTTGGGTCTCTGTTACCAAGGATAAGCCAGGATATAATTGATTTACAAAATCAAGTGTCTAGAGGGCCCAGGGAGTCAATACAAATCACTGAATTATCTGGACATGAACAAAAGATGAGAAAAAAAGCCCCATGTAGGTAGGGGTGGGGGCAACCATGATGCAACCTCATGGGGATACAGTCCAGTGTTTCCAATTCTATTGCTCTACCAATAAATCTAGACTCAAAAGTGAAATCTTCTGTGAAAAAAATACTGGTAATTAATCCAAAATAAAATAAAACCCACAAAACTCTTCAGTTTAAACAAAAGTCCCTCATTCTCAGACTCAGTCCTGTGGCAACTAGTTTGTGAACTATTCCAGATTATAAGATGGCATCGAATATAAAATGTACAAACCACCTTATCTCTACAGCAGCTTTTTTGGAAAAAAAAAAAACAGAAAAAGAAACTTCACCATATGAAAATATATACTAAATACCAGGTATATCTTGACATTGGAAATGTTAAATATGAAAAAAATGTATATTTTAAGATTGGAAAATTTGGTATGTTTTTAGAACTTCATCCTGAATGTGAAAAACATCCCAGTTGTTGATGATAAAAAATATCATATAATGAGCCAACATTCCTCAATCATCCTCACCTCTGCAAAAGGAAGCAGCTGGACAGCTCGTGAAGTAATAGCTGCACCCACTCAGTAACGAGACTGTCATGAACTCAAATATCCTCTATTCATTTGACTATCTGAGCCATTAGTTGTGGCATTTATAATAAATCTTTCTTTTTGTTTCAAGGTTATACAGTCACTCAAAAAACAACATGGAATTTCATGTTATTTAAACTTAATATTTAGACAAAATACATGCTTGGCATAAATATACTTAGCTAATAATTTTAACAAGAAGAAATTATAGCCACACCATCATACAGTGACCTATTAGGATCATCAAAAGTAAACTTGAGGGGCATCTCTGGTGGCCTATGGGTTAAGTCTCCGCATTACCACCTCTACTGACTGAGTTCGATCCCCGGCCAGGGAGCTAACCCATTTATGGTGCAGCAGACCTCTCCTGTCTCACCGGCTGCTCCCCTTGGCAGTGTATTTCAGTCAATCCACCTGTTCTACTCTCCACTCTGTCTCTTGTGAATCTTCTCACCCCTGTACCTCTAGCCTATACCCCCATTCTTCCACGCCCAAAAAAAAAAAAGTAAACTTGACTTACTTAGGAGCTACAAAATAATTATTAGGAACTTATACCTACACCTTCACCAAATATCTAATGATATATCACAGTATTGATTGTCTTTGGTTGTTCCTTACCTAGATAAACAAGAGCACACACCCATCGGCAGAGGGACTTCAGGCTTGGAGACAGTAAGAAGCACTCTTGATTGTCTAATGGCTCTGTGAGGTACAATTGGCTAACTGACTGATGTTCTAATCAGAAGCTGCTGCAAAGTTTTGTCTGAAACCTGCCTCTACCCAGGTAGTCCTCTGAAAGGCCAATCAGAAGGCTTTGGAAGATCCTATAGAGCTTAACAGTACTGGACCATTCCCTGGTCCTCAAGACACAACCCATAAACTATAATTAATCGGTTCATTTTTTGAATAATGTAATGTGCAAGGGAATCGAAAAACTTAAAACTGACTTTTAAAATGAATCATTATGAATTAAATACCAAGAATCAAGACACAATAAGAATTTCTTATGATACCTTCATTCCTTTCATTGAGAATGTTCATTCTATCAAAGGTAACTCACTATTATTGTATGATTTTAAATGCCTGCCCTTACTGAAGGACACAGAGGGTTAAGTTGACATCTGGTCTTAGCTTTTTTTCCACTGTTTATAAGTTTACACAAATGATTCTTTAGTTTTATTTTATTGCTTTTCTTTTTACAATTTTTTTTTTTACCTCTTTATATATTCCAGTGCAATTATAGTAGTCTCTGGAAGGGAGGCCAAGTCGAGGTTGGTCAATCTATAAAAAAAAATACAGAAAAGAAAATAAACCATTGAGATGATATAGGAAAGCAGTACAATACAAGCATGCCCTTCCACGTGTCAGCAAGTCCTGGGATTTTTCTGTTTGTAAGGGTAACAGCCAGGCTGTTATTATGAATGAATACATAATTAGGGAGTGTTTTCCACATTTCTTATAAGTGTTAAACTGATGAGTAGTTAGATAATCTGGAGGACTATGCTGCCGATATTTGAGGGGAAAAAAGAAAACCTTAACGAGATATATACTGAAAAGAATATTTAATGCAGAACAGAGATTCAGGTGAACAAAAAATGATGAGTCTAGGACTTGGTCATATCTAAATGACACATTTATGGAACATTCCACTTCCTGAGATTCCAATATGCTCCCATGGGGGGACATTCTTTTCTATCCCCACCCTAGTTGGGATGGAGAAAAATTAAAAGGTGGAAGGCTTCAAGTAGTGTCTCTAGAACTTTCTAATTAGCGGAGCTTGCCAAAGAATTTTTTTGAGACCCTTTACCCTAGGGAAATGGAAGAGAATCTTCCTGGGCCTCTCTGGAGCTGCTCCACTCAGGAATTTAGTAGTTAAGTGTTAAAAGAGGTAACTCAGCTCTGCTCGCCTTTGTCTGGCCCACCGTCCATACCCAGGGAGAACCGCTTGCACACACTTGCATCCTTGTTAACTTGCCTCTGGTGCACTGCATGGGAAGATGGGAATGGAGGCAAACAAGGGCATTTATGTGTTCAAGTGAGACTCCAAACAGCTGTGCAGTGCCAATGCCAAGGTAAAAGAAACATCACCAGAGGATTGGTGTAGAAAGAGCCAGAAGGCAACTCCACATCCAGGGCCTTCTCCAACTTCCAAACCCTTCTTAGGAAATCACATGGTCATCATGCAGGATGCTGACATTTGAGAGCCAAAGGAGAAAACTTCAAAAGGGAAAAAAGCAGCCCTTTCCTGTCTATCTGGCGATAGCCATCAGGTAAGTCAAGATGGGCGCTTACAAATACATCCAGGAGCTATGCAGGAAGAAGCAGGTGGATGAGATGTGTACTGCTGGCAATCCCGCCAGTTGTCAAAGCTCCACAGGGACTACCCCTCCCTGCCCCCATCCAGTCTGACAAAACAGCTGACTGGGATATAAGGCCAAATTAGTTTATGTCATATATGGGGTTCTCATGTGTCATGGTGGTTGCAAAAGTCCAGTTCCCAAGGGAGCAACCTATGGCAAGCTTAGACATCATGGTGTGAACCAAATAAAGTTTGCTGGAAGCCTGAGAACACAGCTGGACACAACTGTGGAGCTCTGAGTCCTGAATTCTTATTGGGTTGGTGAAGATTCCACATACAGATTCTCTGAGGCTATCCTCCTTGCTCCATTCCATAAAGCTTTCAGATGAAATCCTGACACCCAGGGGATTATTACACTAGTCCACAAACAAAGGGGTGTTTACTGCTGACATTGTAGTTGGCAAGAAAGGCCTCAGGAAGGGCCCCAAGTTCCACCACATACATGGTGATTCTTGCCCTGCAGCTTGGAGAAGGCATAAGACTCTGCAGCTCCCCCGCTAACTAGTAAGGATGTTTGTAAAATTCTTATCTAGTAAACAATCAAGGACAGTCATGTCTGCTTTTAAAAAAGGCAGAAAAGGGGTCCACTGTAGAAAAGAGTTGGGTTCAATAACTTTCATGATTTTAATAAAAATGACCAAAAAGATTTAGGCAATAGTGCTATGATTCTATGACCTGCAACTTTTGGGGTATTTTCTTTTACAGAAGATCAAATAAAGTATGTAATTTTATTTTATATATTTTATATAAAGTCCTTTCCAAATACACTCTTTAAGAATTAGTTTCGGGGCTTCCCTGGTGGCCTAGCGGTTAAGTCTTAGCACAGCCATCCTGCAGCCTAAGTTCAATCCACAGCCAGGGAAGTGACCCACATGGCCCAGCAGACCTCTCCTGTCTCGCCCACTGCTGCCCTCAGCAGTGTATTTCAGTAGATCTGCCTGTTCTGCTCCCTACTCTGTCTCTGGTGAATCTTCTCACCCCCACCCCCTTGGCACCTCTGGCCTACACCCCAGTTCTTTCATGCAAAAATAAGTAAATAAAATCTTTAAAAAAAATCAGTCTCATTTTAGGGACACCTTAGGTAAACCTAAATGAATAATTTACATTTTTTAAAAAATCTAATAAAACCACTTAAAGGATGGTTTTTCATTTGCCTTCATTGAGATAAAAGTGAAGATATTCTTTAGCTAGAAACAAAATTGAGTTGAAAATTCATTTTCTATGCTCTTTTTGGAGCAATTAGGAATTTCTTGTTTCTAGACCTGTCTTACTTATGTAAAACAGACCACACATAGAAATTATATGCTTTTTCTAAATAGGAAAGGGAAGTCTTTCATTTCTTATTTATTTTATGAAGGGAGAAGTACCTAAAATCAAGGTAGATGAATTCCTAAAACACAGCCTTAGGAAAATACATTTAGACTTGTGGATCCAGCTATCAGGAACAGAGCAAAATTTATCACTGTGTTGTTCATCTGACTCAAATGAAAAGAGTCATCCTGTCTAAACATCAGTAATAGGTGTGTGAAAGCTTTCTACAATTTAAAGATCATTTGGCTTTTGGCCACACCAACTTACATGAATTATATGGCTCATGGAGTTCTTGTCATCAGTGCCAACAAAAAAGTTAATAAGGACTTTTTTCCCAAATTTAGAATTCTGTTGTGCCATAGATTTCTCAGCTGTCCAGTTATCTAAAATAACAAAAGGAGAAGTGTATCTTTAGAGGTTTTAGTACATTAATATGATAGTATGATATAATAGTAGCATGGATTTTATACAGAAATTACTTTTTTTTCCAAAGAAGAAAAATGGCCTTACCATAATTTTGCTCCCAGTTATCTGCTGCTACTGGCCAATCATACATGTCTGGTAACAGGTCAAGCAGAGGTACCCCATTTCTATTATCAATGGCAGCTTTTGAAAACAACAGATACAAATTCATTATGAAGTCTGCATTTTCTGGCACAATTTTTAAAAAGATTTTTTTATTAATGTAACATGGCATGGTGACACTGGAATGTTTTAGGTGTGACATACCTTTAATGAAATAAAAAAAACACTTACATTCATTTATACAAGATCTGTACAGTGTTTTTGCTTTCTGTACTGCTTCTATATCTTCAGTCCTGGGTTCCTGGAGGACATCTGAATAGGGTATTTCAGAAAATACATCAATATAATTGCTCATTTGCATCTATAATTAACATTTTCAGCAGGGGTTCAGTAAAGAACTTGGTTTTTGAATGTATGCTCACTGCCTCCCCATTTCAAAATCCTATAGGAAAACCCCATTACCATATCATTACTCCTAATGCAGAACTATGCATTAGTTTCATTAGCCAAGTTAGATGAAAGTCTTTTTGACTAGTTACCTTTTTTGTGTAAACAGTGATGTGTACTGCTCACTTCTTTAAAAAATTGAGATTAAAAAGAAATAATAATGCAGAGGAATCTGGAATTTATGATATCTTCTTGATGGCTGGAAAAATACTACTTTTGTGTGACTGTACTGTTCACACTCCAAATGAATTGTATGAGTTTTTCTACTTGTTTGGATGATAGAAAGTATCAAAAATTGGTTTTCCACAAAGTAACTTCTAGAAGAGGAGAACACAGCATAGAAGACTAGACATGATTTTCTCATCTTCTCAGGGGGAGTGTCTGAGTCTGGTCAGAATAAATATACCTACTCTGGGAAGGCAATAGTTACTTCAAAACAGGATCAGGGTAAGAAGACCACAGAGGTGGCATTTAGTGGCAATCATTTAATTTCTTCTTTGGTAAAATGGTACAAAGACACCACTTCTACAGATGATAGAGCTCTACTACTTGTATACATATGATTGAAAGCAGGGATGCTAAGAGATGCCAACATTCATTTCAGTGCCTACCACCCTCTGCATGACTCTGGTGGTCCATAAAACATGGAGGGATTATCAATATTAATCTTCTGTGATTTTCCCTATAACAACTAAGAGTCGTATCTTAAAAGACAGATATATTCAGAGAGAAATCATTGATGCATAGACAGAAACACCACTAACCTTTCAAAACAACTTCTAGTTCATCTCTTAAAATGTCAAAGTTACTGTAACGGGAGCTGGTCTCAGGAATGACATTGCGTTTCAACCAACCCCCACAGGCGTATTTGAAAAAGTCTGTGCAAGGCTCAACAGTGGTATCCATGTTCTGGATCAGTCGGGCAGCTGAAAGATCATGAGAAAGATGGGATGAAATGAAGGATACATTTCTAAAGTACTTTGGAAAGGGTAAAAGGAGACATGTTGCTTTTGCTTCATTAGCAAGTCAACTGGTTGGTCTTTTTCTCACTTAGATTATTGTCAATTCAATGCTGGTGGATTGATGACTATGCTCACCAACTAGTGTTCCTTCCCTTAACTATACTTGGTTGGTTTTATTCTTGGGATAGTAGAGTCCTCCAATTCTACATCTCCTCCAGAAAACTGAGGTTCTCTCTAATCCCTGTTTCAATGTAAAGAGAACACAAGTCTGTCTTGACCAGAAGTTCATACAACTTCATTCTGAACTCTGGTAATTCCAAATGTTCTCTATCCTTAGAGGTGGATGCCTTGTCTCTAGAACCCAAAGAATGTGGGATTGACTGTTAATGGATTTTATCATTTCAATAAAGATCTATAGCTACAGTGATTACTTCTTGGACTTTGCAAAATATTTGCAATTCAAATTAGATGTCTGATCTCTGTGTGTTTATAAAGTCTGTCATTATAAAATTGGTTGTAAGTTTGTTAGCTTTTTTGATATCTACTTTTTTACTTTGGACCAGATGAAAATGCAAATCCACCAAGACTGAGTATTTACAAATGTGTGCTGCAATTGATAGATGTAAAAATATGAATTATTAGCGCTGCAGAGAATATTTAGTAAGTACAGGAGGCCCAACACCCACAACTTCTACACCTGGAAGTGTGAGGAAACCCTCTCACTGCCCTCCCCATTTTCTTTCTCATACAAGTTGAACTGTTTTGCAAAGAAAACAAAAGAGCGATTGAGAATTCATCTGTATGAAGAGAGTATAAGTTCTCAAACGAGCTTTTGAAAACACTTCACTTTGTGAATTAATTAATTAATTAAAAACCTCAGACAATTGCTGGGCTGTGTGGATTTTTTCAGCTTGGAATGGTGTATCTGTTTTCCAGTTGAGCTTCATCCCTGCTGCTAGCCGTCAATTAGACGCATCTGTTTGGTTGCCAATTCACACATCACCTCTCGGCTCTCCGGGTTTACACTTTCATACTTTGGCACTCAGCACAATTGCTATACAACACAGTCTCCCAGGTTTGAAACAGTGGGTAAGACTCTGATTAAACTTTTCTCAAATACCCATTTTCCTGGCCACTCCCTTCTTTAAAAATATTAGTGACTTGACATTGCCCAGGTTAAAATACAAACTCTTTAACTTGCCCTCTGAACTTTTACCAGTGAGCCAGAAGTCCTTACCGTTGCTTTTCTCCCTTCTTTGTGTTTTGGCACAAACTCTGTTCCAACCAGACGGTCTCCCTCCATGTACTACTACAAATAACTCTTGTGTTTTCCTATTTTATGTCTTTGCCTATCTCCTCCTCCTTCCAAACTTTTAACTCCTTTCAATTCTTTCCACATTCTACCCATTATTGAAGTTCAGCAGATGTCCCATCTCAAAGTTTCTATGACTCCAAACTTCAGGAATATTTTGTTCTCTGAACTGCTGAGAACTCATTACCTCTCTTGGTCTTTAATACATAGATGAGGCTACTTACAGGGCTTCTTATTGTGGTCACCTTCTCTGTCTCCCTAAACATTCTATTGATGAACATGACCTCTGAACTTTCGAACTTTGAACTGCTAATGAACCTGACCATCACCAAGCACCTTATTAAAAATGAGCAATTATGTCTACATGTGACAGCATTACTGAATCATTTATGAATCTTCTTGTCTCCCCTCCTACACATACCTTTCTTGCAGGTCTGACCAGTTCTCATTTCACAGCTTCCAGAGTCTGCCCCATGCCCCATGCCCAATCACCCCCAGGCCCATTTTCCCTCAGACCCCCACCCCCTAGCCTCTATTTCTGCCCTTTAGCTGAAGCTACAGCCCCAGCCTTCTCCACCCCAGTTCATCTGTGTGCCACAGTCAGATTAATGTTGTCATAACATTGCAGCTGCCATTTTCCACTCCAAGCTATCAATAGAATCTTTTGCATTCATAATAAAATCCAGATTTCACAGCATATTTTAATCCTATTACATATAATGAAGCTTCTCTTTTATACCTTTCTCACATGCGCCAACTGTCCCAATTAAATAAATATAAATATTCAGTCTCTACTGTGAAACACCTATGCTTTCTGCTCCTGCAACTTCAACCATGTTGTCTCAACTTCTGTTCATATATCTTTGTCTATTTTTTTATATTTTGAATTTCAGGTGTTTTCAAGATCTAATTCAAAATCTCTTTCTTCATCAAGGGCTGTCATTACAATGCTCATATTGGCTGACATCTTATTCACTTTTTGTATGAAAGCCTATTATCTCCTCAGCTGGACTGTGCCCAGGCCAAAGAGGAAATGTATTTTCCAGTTTCTTCCAGAGTCAAAGACTGTGCTCAACCCAGACTAACAAGTAAAAACTCTAATTTCAAATCTCAGATAAAGATTAGGAAAGTGATCTAAAAAATATAGAAAGAAAGGGTGATTCCCTGGAACTCTGAAGGAAATAAAGCTATGATGACAGGATAAATAAAGACTGTAAAAACTTTACCATGTTTGGTGAAAAAACCAGAAAATTGGTGACTGAAAGAATGCTTACTGAAGACATTCTAAGCAGACATCTTCAGAAATTTTGTATAACTCTTGTCTTTCAAAAGACTTTGAAGAATTTAAACTGTGGAAAGGCAGCTATCATTTGGGGCATCTTCTCCTTCTTTCCCGTTTCTGGGGCAATGAATGGTTTATGTCCTAACACCTCAAAGAACAATCAACCCCGACTTGCAAGAGCAGAGAGCAGTAACGAACAAGTAGATGAACAGGAATAATGACGAAGACTTACTACCTATTTGGAAATGCCACACTCTCTCCTAAACACCCTGAGTGGACTGCAGATCGATGCTCGTGAGTGCAAATCCCCAGTCCAGTGAATGCTTTTGGACTTCTACATCTCTCATAAGGAAAAAATATGGTCCTTCCCCTCTCGAGCTGGATCCCTCATCTGCTACCCAATGCAGTGAAACTAATTAAATTTGGACAACAAATCAAAGAGGAGGCATTCAAACTGTTAGCAAGGGTTACAGAGGCAAGACATTGGAAGAGGGAACTCTGCAAAGCCCTTCCCATGCCACTCTTTAAATCTCCCTTTGACCTGAGAGGGCATCTGACCATGGGTGCTTCCAATCACTTCAAAGAGAGCTCTCTGTACTGATGAATATTTTGGGGCCATGGGCCAAGGCAAGTCATGGGCTAGCACTTTTATGCTGGGTCTTTGATCAACCTTCCTTTAATCTCTTATCATGGGTTTGATTCTCGTTTTGTACCTTATCCTCCGGACCTCCTCTGTGCTGACTTTTTCTTTGAAGTCAGCAGTAGACTTGTGGGTAGAAAGGCCGTAGGAAACAGACGTACAACTGTCAAACTGGTTGTAATTGTTTTTATATTTTGTACTTTGTTTTGAATTACTCAACCTCTCCACATAGCCACACCTGGGCTCTTCAGATGTTTCCTTATCTGTGGGTCTCTGTCTTCTGAGTAAACAAACGTGGTTTAAAAACAAATAAAATTATTCACCTTAACAAGCAGACATAAAAAATGATGTAGTAAAGGCAAATGTGTTAACATGGAATGTTGCTGTAAAGTGAAAGAAAAAGCATTCCATGATTTTAAAAAATCTGTACAGAAACACAGAAAAGTCTAAAAGGCATTTACAACAGTTATATCTGGGTAGAGGGATTATGAGTGCTTAATTTTGTATTATCTACTTATCTTTATTTTCCAGTTTGTATTGGATGAGCATGCATTTTCTTGCAGTAAGAGAGGGAAATTTTATTTTTAATTTAAGAAAGTCACATAAAGACAAAGAAAAGTAATTTTCTATTAATAATGAGCTTATTTCATATGAATGACAATTCTGAATGTTTTATGCTGATAAATGTCATACCATATTTTCCCTAACTAATCTTATAAAATTCTCCCAACTTATTTGACTATAGGAATTTGAAAATAAACTCAACTACCATTTGGGAAATTATTAATTACTGTATTCATTACCAAGGATCTAGCATGTGGATAAGGAGATGCTGATAAGCAGGAAAATGTTTGGAGTTCTTAAATAAGGCAGATTTGTTTTGAATTCCTGAGCTTCACTCCTTTTTTGGTGTACAAGATTAAGCCATTTTCCCAAGATCATGCAGCTTGTAAATGATGGAGCCTCAGGACTTGCTCTTAGATGTGTGGGTCTCTGAGGCTCCCCTTTTAAATTTCCCCCAGGTCTTGGCCTCTTCTCATTTCCTTTCCTCCCTGCTTCTCTTTCCCCCTTCCCCAATGTCACCCATCACCAGCAAGCTGCACTGGGTCAAAGTCAGAAGAAAGCATCAGGACTTGGAGTCTGCATGGATAGGAAGAAGGAAAGAGGAAAAGCACATGAATTCTTCCCAGCAGAGCAAGCAGCCGGGAAAGTATTGTGGAGGCCAGGCTTGCTCCATGGCAGGTCCAGCAATGCACCTTCGGGAGGTGGGTTGGTAACAGGATTCCTGCCTAGCTTGTCTTTGGATAGAATACTTTGGATTGGAAAGTAAAATATCTCAGTGATGCATTTTAAAAGAATCCCTTTCAACCCTGGCTAACCATGTGAGCAATTTAGAAGTCTTTAAACACAGAGATACACAAGATGTATTTTCTGATTAATTAAATCAAAATACTTAGAGGTGGTCCAGGCCATTTTTTTTTTTTTTTTCGAAGGCTTCCTGAGTGATTCTAATGCACAGCCAGGGAGAATGACCAGACTGGACAACAGAGCAACACAGAAAATGAGGACAGGAAAATCCAGCATCCAGAAAGTCAAAATATTCCCATACTTCGATGAATCAGGCATATTTTTTCTTGCCTTTCCCATCAGCAAGTGCAAATGGACTGATCGCGATTACCCATGAAGTATACCTGTTTCCTATCAGCCTCTGAAAAAGTACTGCAAGGAAC